GCTGTTTTCATTCATTCCCCGCAGAAAACTTCCTGGGCACCCAATGGGTTGGAGACATGCCGCCCTGACCCCGCCTCGCTCCTCCCCTCCCCGACTGCGCAGTTGCTCTTGGACACGCCCCGCTGCCCGTAGTGGGAGCTGGGGCGGAGGGGCGACGACGTTGCTGTGGGGGTTCCTGGAGTGTTGCTGGAACGCGCGGGAGCCCTCGGAGCACACCCGTCCCCGAGGTTTTCTCGCTGGACCGCGGAGCCAGCACACAGAACCAAAGCTGGGGACTTCTGGAGTGAGTGAACGAGCACAAATCCAAATGCGATGAGCCAAAGGAGTGCAGGCCAGGCCATCCCTGGACCTTTAACCGGACGCTTTGCACAACCCTCTGCCCTATTCCCAAACCGGTCCTCTGGCCGGTGTGGCGCAGCCCCGTGGACCCGGCCGAGGTCAGAGCCCAGGGAGCGTTCAGGCCCGTCGGCGCCTTCCCCAGTAAACTGTCTCAGTCTTTAAAACGTTGAAATGCCTTGCTGCCTCTTGCAGAAATTCCCATCTGACCACCACATTCGTCTCTCAAAGGGATTGTTCCCCCTCGCACAGAGCAACTACACATGAGGCTTCAGGCAGTTTCTGACATGCCAAACCCTCCCAACTGCCAAAAATCTGCAAGGTGATGTTGACCCAGGTCAAGACTTCCAGGCCCAGGGAATACAGTAGACCCAGTAGCCCAGCCTGGACCAGACACTAATCCCCACCCTCCCCCAGTCCCTTCCAGCAGAGTTCCCAAACAGCCTATCTCACAAAATGCCCTCAGCCCTTCCTCCCATGCCCCTCCCGAAATCTCTTCTCCTAAATACCCTCTATCAACCCTTTTTTCTGGCACGATCCTACTGGAAACTACCTTAACGCACCTTCCTTCCATCAGAACTCTCCTCGACTCCTGGCCCCAAGTTGCCTCACAAACCTCTGAATTCCCTTGCTCTGCAGAGTTCAGAGGTGGCAAAAGAAACAGAAGCAGTCAGAATTAGGGAGGTATTGAATCAAAGCCGCTGGACGAGGAGTCACCTCTCTGATCCCTTTCCAGAGAGGATGTGGCTGAAGATTAGGGAGGCTGAGAGACAGGATCTCTTCAGCTTTGACCCAAGCACTGCCCAGATGCCTGGTTTTCCATATGCTGGACTATTGTTTCTTTCACACTTCACCTCGACACTTTTTTTTTTACAGAAGTATATTTTAAACCTGTTCTACATCATAGCATGTATAGAAAATGATTACTGTAAAAAGTAAATGAGGCCAGTGCTATTAAATGTTTTAAGTTCAATCATGCATGCTGCCAAGGGCTGAACCCAGGGCGCACTCTTTGCCAAGGTCAAGGGTCATTGAAGACAATCTGGCCCCAAATTTCCATGTAATTGAAAACGGCTGAAGAGAGTTGGGAAGGAAACCATTCTCCCTTTTCATGCTGGCTTACTCGGGGTTTCTCTGTATCAGCTGCAGTACCCCACACTCCAGAGCGGCCTGAGGAGGCGGCTGCCAGCCTGTACCCTGCACGGCTGAAAAGGTCCCTGAGCACTGGTCAGCGCCCTGGGCACAACAATGCTGAGTCTCTGAGACCTTCCAGTGCCTACAGGGCTACAGGGCTGTCTTTTTCCCACACTTCTGCCCCTGCGTCACACTGGTTCTGTCTGCTGCTCGCCCACAGGCCACACAGGTTCCCGCCTGCAGGTCTTGCCCTTTGCTTCTACCCCCTCCACTCCCTGTGGCCTGGCTGGCTTCCCTCACTCTCCCAGTCTGGGACTAAAAAGGTTTTTCCCCACTGCAGGCAAGGGATCCTAAAGACAGGGATGCATACAGACACTGCTGAGCCCATCAGGGCCGAATGACAAGCAACGCCACTTCGCTTGAGACTCAGTTTACTCATCTGCAAATGGTTTTAACAAGAGCACCCAGAAACCAACTGTCAGGGTTGTTCTGTTAAATCTGGCCCACTGCAGAGGGCCCGCTCACGCAAACAGGCCAGAAAATGCTCTGAAAGAGGTGTTGTTATTAACAGGACTCATGCTCCGGTCCTCCCAGTGGGGGAGCAGAAAGCTCAGCATTGGATCAGCTCCAACTTCGTGGGGCTGGAGGGCTAAGCCAAAGACTCCCCGCTTCCCTCCAGATCTTCTCAACCCCAAGACCGAGTTCACAGCCCCAGTTCCCGAGAGCACGCACGTTCCTTGTGAGGGTAAAGGTATCCGAGCCACAGCAGATGCACAGCAAGCGAAAACCGGTCTTGCATAAAGGCACATTTTAATCATTTCTCACATCCCTGTTGCCTGCCCTTTGCCTGAAAACTGAGAGTGCTGCTTTGAGCGGCACCGCAGACCCCACAAAACCAGCCTCGGGTGGCCGCTGACTCCCCTCGGTTCCCAGGCCCCTCGCTTTGAGACCTCAGTTCAGAAATGTAATTGACAAGTCCATTTTGTCCAGCCAGGGCTCCTTTTATTCATTCAGGGGCAGAGTTTTGAAACGCAGTGCAACTCTAGAAAGTTGAGGGTGCCGAGAAAGCGCGCCTGCCGGGGGCAGAGAATTGCAAGAAGCCTGCGGAACCTCCCAGCCTCGGGGGTGCCCTTAACTTGCCTCTGGCCACGGCTGCCAACCCGAGAGGCCGAGGGGACCTCACAGTGAGACCAAGAAGCCTGCTCCGTCCTCAGTCAGGCCCACCTGTCCTCCGTGTGCCAGTGTGCCAGACAGCCTGCAAATCCATTCACCCTGGTCCCAGGACAGGCTCCGCTTGGCACCCTTGGCCTAAGAAGCATCTGGCCGTGCAGGAAAGGTCGGGCAGTTTCCGTCCTCCCAAGGGCCGGGGCACCGCTGGCTGCCTCGGGCCCTGCTGCCCCTCACACAGGCGTCTCCTCGGCCACCTTCTTCAGCAGCCCAGCTGCCAGCGGGGAGTGCAGGGTGCCCTCGGCGCCCTCCGAGTCCCATGTCTTCAGGCGCACTTTCTGGTGGGTCCTTCTCCACTCCGAGTACAGCTGGCAGTGGTAGCGGAAGGATACCTGGAGGCAGTGTGGAGGTCAGGTGGGGGCTGGCCAGTCTGCACCCTCAAGACAGAAAAACTGGGCCCCACAGCACCTACCCTGACCCACACAAGGGCAGGCTCAAGCTTCCGGAAGCAGAGAGGACATCTGGGATTTCCAACACACTGCACAATCCACTCACTTCACTCTCCTGGGGAAACCCCACCAGCATTCAGGGCTCCCCCAGGCGAGGGAGCCACCAGCTGAGCAAGCTCCCGCCTGTCAGTAGGTGGGAGTGGAGCTGAGTCTCTCAGCAGGGCTCAGGTGTAAGTGCCAGAACTCAGGACAGCTCTGTTGGGGCCGCTGGCCCTCCCAAGTGGCTGCCTAAACTGGACACCCAGACAAGGGGACCATCGGCGCTCACGCAACAGCCTGAAATGAGCTATCGGACATAAAGGCATGGGGGAAGCGGAAATGCGTAATACCAAGCGAAAGAAGCCAGCCAGCAAGGCGGTGACTGCAGGACCCCAAACATGAGCGCTGGAGAAGGCAAACGGGAGACAGAAAAGTGGTCACTGGCTGCCAGGGGCCGGAGGGAATGGGCGGAGCACAGAGGACCGGGCAGTCACAGTGCCTGACACTCTGAGGGCGGGTACACGGCCGAGTGAGCCCTAAGGTCAGCTGTGGGCTTGGGGTGCCTGTGATGTGCACTGTGCGTGTCCAGCTGTAGCCAGGTGCCACTCTGTGCCCTAGGGAAGACTGGGGGTTGGCGTGGTTGAGGTGAAGTGACAAGTGGCTACTTTTTGCTCAGTTTTGCCAGAGACTCTAACCTGCTCCAATAAACAGCCTGACAGTTTATAAATAATTTTTTTAAATTAATTTTAGGTCCTCCCTGGTGGCGCAACAGGTAAAAGTGCAGCACTGGAAGTGAGCGGCAGCTGCTTCAGTACAGGCAGTGGGCGTTTGACCCCCGCCCCGGGGCTGACCCCTGGGGCGCAGCAGACCTCTCCTGTCCCCCACTGCCCCTCTCAACAGTGTCCTTCATCCATCTGCCTGTCCGGCTCCCCACTCTGCCTCTGGTGAAGCCTGTCATGCCCCTGTATGTATAAACAAATCTTTTTAAAATATTAATTTTAAATTAAATGTAAAAAAAAATTTAATAAATGTCATGGTTCACGCTCTTTGACCAGCAAGTTCCAAGAAACATTTGCACTAGCTGTACCTGAAACACTGCTCATAAAGGCCATAAAAAGTCAAGGGGGGGGAGACACTGGAAAGACTCCAGTGTGTTCGGAGGGGCCTCGCTGAATCAACAGGGCACCCCTGCGCGGAGTGGCTGCTGCTGGCGGCCTTCTTTTCTTTAAAGGACATTAGCAGAGTGAGTACCAGCACCATGCAAATAGAAGCCATGCTTTCATCCTATTTGCTTTTCTTTTTTTTATACTGGTAGATACACTGAAAAATAATTCTTGAGGAGGGCAAGTCGCCACACAGGACTACAGTGGTTATACCGGAGGCTGAGACCTCACCCTCTGGCTGCGGGGCGGAGCCTGGAACACCAGCCCCACTCCAGCCGCCCTGGCCATCCCAGGTGCTTTTTCCTCTCCCCCCTGCCCCTCCAGTCTTTCATCTCCTGTGCTTTCTCTCCAAAGCTTTGAGCCAGTCTCTTCTCCCTCCCCAGCCCAGGCCTGGCTCAGTGGGGTCCCATGGCAGGGTCTGCACTCAGCACTGGGGACCAGGAGCCCTTGTTTCCGTGAACAGAAAGGTCACGCTTGACTCGGGGCTTCCCGGGACCCTGGGGCTCAGAGTCGGGGAACTGCGGGACCCTCTGCAGAGGCTGGCAGGGAGCCCCAAATGCCCGGCCTGATGCTGCGAGCCAGAGACCCTCAGGCCTGCTCTCCGGTGGGCAGCCACTCACCAGCGTCCAGAGGACGTAGATGGTGAAGAGGGCGATGGTGAGGGCGATGAGTCCCACAGCCTCGAGCCTGCTGTGGACCCGGAGGTGGTCCTGGGCCCCGCGCAGGCACAGCCAGCCGGAGATGGCCGCCAGCGGCGTGATGAACAGGAAGCACACCATGTCGCAGCAGAGAGTTCGCTTCTCTGTCCGAGGCCCCGGGTCCTTCAGCCACTGTGGGGGAGACAGGGAGAGGCTGAGGGGCTGCACCCCACCCTCCGTCAGTCCCTGCGGGGGACGCGGTGTGGACCAGCAGGCCTGTGCCGCCTCGGCTGAGGCCCACCACGATGGGGCATGAGGACGGCTCCCGCCTGGCCCCTCCTCCAGCCTTCCCTTCTTGCAAACACTGGTTGAGCCCACGCGGAACCGGGCCGACTGAGTGGGAGGCATTCTTGCCCTTGTTCCCAGACAGGGAAACAGAGGCACAGAGGAGCTGACTCATTTGTGCAAAATCACACAGCTGGTCATCCACAAAGCCAGGGCCAGAACTCTGGACATGTCCCTGGGGCTCCCTGTGCCCGGCTGCCACACCACACGGCCTGCCCAGATGATACACCACGGACTCGGGCTTCATTCCTCAAATTATGCTGGGAAGGACAGAAAGGGTCCTCCTCCCTGCTGGCGGGGGGGGGCCTTGCTGAGGAGGTGACGGGGAGGAAAACCGAAGGGGTGCAGTGGGCCTTGGGAGCAGCACATGCAAAGGCCCGGGGGCACCAGGACCCAGAGGGGGCGCAGGCCAGTCTGGCGCCCTCCCAGCGCTTCCCCCTCCCAGCTTCTGGGCTGCCTGAGGCCTTTCCAGGGGCGCACACCTCAGCCCAGTGGCCTCACCCACAGTTCTCAGGCGACTCCTGCCAAACTGGGCAGGGGGAGCCTGGGCGTGTCCCTCTCCACCAGGTCCATTCCCTAGGGCTAAAGCCTAAGGTCCTGGGCACAGGCCACAGAGCCCAGTGTGGCCTCTGTCCTCCTCAGGCCACTCTCCTCCTGCTTTAACTAGCTCCACTCCAGCCACTTGGCTTTCATCAAGAACTCCAACTGTTCCAGTCCCAGGCCTCTGCACTGTGCCCTCTGCCAGGACTATCCTTCCCCGGGTCTTGGCATCGCCGGCTCAGGTCTCAGCTTCAGTGAGTCACCTGAAGTGACCAAAACAGGGAGCGTCATAGGGTCCGTCAGCGCTGGAGCTTCAGGGTGGGCGATGAGGGCCACCGGGAAAGCAGCCGCCCCCCACCCACTCCCAGCCCAGGGCTGGCTCCTCTTCCAGCCCTGCCCCCACTCCCCACGCGGGTGCCCAGCGTACCTCTGTGAGGGGCCGGGGCCGCTTCTCCACCGCAAACTCCGCGTGGCACAGCTCGCAGTAGCTGGTGTTGGACGAGGACAGCCACCGCTCCAGGCAGCTTCTGTGCACGGCGCCCAGCGAGCCGGTGCAGTGGCACGGAGACAGCAGGCTCTCTCCGCTCGCGCCCTCGTGGCAGATCCGGCAGAAGGGGCCTTCGCTGCACGCGGGGGGACGTGTGAGGCGCGGGCGTCGGGGTCCCACCCAGGCTCTGCTCCCTCCAGCGGGCGTAAGCTCAGCTCAGCGGCGGCCTGCCAGCTCCTGTTCGTGCTCCAGCACTGGGGGGCTCATGTGCTTCCCCTTGGGGAGCCTCCCCAGGCACCCCCATGTGGAGGGTTCCTGTGCCACCGTGGCAGCCCAGGGGCACCTCTCCCACCCGCGCGTCCCCATCCACTCCTGTATTGCCACCGGACCGCTGGTCCTGCAAGCATCCCACTCTCCACTGGTTCTCAGGGCCAGGGCAGACCTGCAACACCCTGGTGACCCGGGCCACACACCCAGTCACAGGACAGGCTCAGGGAAGCACCGGGTGGTGCAATCTGAGCCTTGAGAATCAAGGCTCCCTGCCCCCCAGGCAGCCTGCAGCTGGCCGTCCCCACTCAGGCTCTGCGAAGGTGCCACGTGGAGAACAGAGGAGAGGAGAGCCCAGGCGGAGGCAGGGGCCTCAGGACACCTGCCACACCCCACGGGCACCCCGTGGCCCTCTGTCTCAGCAGGCTGGGAAAGCAGCTGCAGGAACCACTCTGGGGAAGGCTCGGCCTGGCCAGGCTCGGTCCGGCTCTTTCCAGGGCAGCCCAGCAGGCTGCAAGCGTAGCCTTGGTGGACACAGAGGCTGCCCAGCATATGAGTCATCGTTTTCCAGTCATTTCTGTCCAAGCAGACTGTGGGAACACGGGAGGGGAGGGCTGAGCCCAGAGCTGCTTCCGAGCTGGCCAGGAAGCCTCTGAAGCACCTCCCTCCCCTCCCGGGTGTGGAAGTGAGGAGAAGCTGGAGGGAGCATCCCTCAGTCCCGGAGTTTGTCTCAGAGAGCCCAGCCTTGCACGGCAGACCCCTCCTGTCTCCCCACTGCTCCCCTCAGCAGTGTACTTCCTCGATCTGCCTGTTCTGCTCCCCACTCTGCCTCTGGTGAATCCTCTCACTGCCCCTGTACCTCTGCCCTGCACCCCAGTTCTGTGTGCATAAATAAATAAATCTTTAAAAAAAAGAAAGCAAGCCCTGCCTTGGACGAGGAAGTGCAGACAGCCAGCCGACTTACTAGTGAGCGCTTCTGCAGGCTGGTGAGCTGGGAACCCACATCAGGATCAGAGTCTCTGTCCCGCAGGGGCCATCCCCACATAGCACAGCTAGGAGACAGCCCCAGAGGCTAACTCTCCTGCACTCACACAGCTAGTAGTCTGCAGGGCCAGGGTCTGAACCCAGGAAACCTCGCCCCAGGGCCACTGCACCCCTCTGCTGCAGAGGCCAGGCCACAGAAACAGGCTTCCCATGTGACATTCTAGCAGGGAGGAGACCTGTGGGAGGCACGGCTGGGGGAGCAATGAGAAACTCATAAGGCCCGGAAGCTGTCCGGAGAACAGTCCAGGGCTAGAGGAGAGAGAGCAGGGAGGAAACAGCGGCCATGGGGGAGCAGCAGTGAAAGCAGCTGGGCGGAAGTGCGGGAGGCCCGGAGCTTGGAAACAGTCTGGGCGCCTCGCGGCCTGGCGGGCACAGCACCAGAGGGGCTCAGCCGCTGGCCCCGAGCCTGAGCCTCTGGAGACTGTCCTGAGCCCTCCTTTCTGGCCTTCACAGGTCTCAGGATCCAGAATTTTCTATGCCACCTCCTCTTTGACATATGCCCCCAGAAACAAGTGTCCTTTAAGCAAAATGGAAGGCTGAGACGTGGGGACATGCGACCAGTGAAGGTCCTAGCTGTGACACCAAGCCCTGCGCCCGCCGCCCCACCCAGCAGAGGCTGGGAGGCAGCACAGGGTGAGGGATGAGAGACAGTGACCCACCTGCCTCACCTCTGCTGAGCCCAGCACCTCCAGGGCAGCAGAAGCACCCTCCTTACTCCCTGGGAGACTGGCCAGGCTCCATGGGAGGCCCATCCCCGGATGTCAGGTGATGGCCTGGGCAGAGCGGCCTTCTCTCTAGGAAGGGCGTGGACTGAGCCACGCCAAAAGGCAGACGGGGAAGCCACCAGCAGAGGCCAAGCGACAGGGCCCTGCAGGCCGGGACTTCAGTGGGTGTGGCCCTGCTGGCCACTGGTCAGATCACGAAGGATAGATCTGCTGGCCGGCACTTGGGTCTTAGCAGGCTGCAGGAGTGGCTTGGCAAGACTGAACAAGCTTCTCGCTGATAGGAAACCTAGGTTTAAGCCACAGCTGTGCTCAGTGACACTGGCAGGTGTCTGTCTGTCTCCCCTGGGTCTCAGTTTCCCCAAGTGCGAAAAGAGAATGTGGGGTAAGGAGATCAACTCAGGAACCCACCAAACACACTGGGGCTCCAGGCAGCCTCCCCCGGCCTCCTGCTCAGCAGTCCTGCCTAGCACACCCCTGGGCCCCCCAAGGTCCCCCGTGCTTCCAGCCTAGGCCACTGCGGAGGCCATCCTGCCTTTAAGGGGTCTGATGGCCACAGAGACAGAAAAACCAAGGCCCTAGCAGAGTCGGAGGCCTCCCCTCGCCTCCGGGCTCTGGGAAAGCTCAGTGCAGAAGTGACGCCAGGCGAAGACTCAGGATGAGCAGCCGTAAGCGCCCTCCAAAGCACGGCAGGTTCCATCTGTTCCTTGTTATGTCTGACTGAAAAGTTTGTGAATTTATTCTGACACATGCTATAAAATGGATAAACCTTGAAGACATGCTGAGTGAAGCGAGCCAGACATAAAAGGCCAAATCATGTGAAGTCCCTAAGTTGTCAAATCCATAGACAGGACAGGGCAGGGGGTGTGGGGTAGTGTTTGATGGAGGCAGTTTCCGTTGGGAAAATGAAAAGAGCTCTGGAGGTCGGGGCCCTCCCTGCTGGTGCAAAAGGTAAAGCGCAGCACTAGGAAGCCGGCACAGCCGCTGCAGCACGAGTTCCATCCCCGGCCAGGGAGGGGCCCACTGGGAGCAGCAGGTCTTTCCTCCCTCGCCCGCTGCTCCCCTCAGCAGTGGATTGCAGTACTTCTGCCTGTTCTCCCCACTCTGTCTCTGGTGAATCCTCTCACCGCCTGTCACCCCTGGCCTGTACCCCAGTTCTGTGTGCATAAATAGATCTTAAAAAAAAGAAAGAAAGAAAAAGAGTTCTGGAGGTGGAGGGTGGGGTGGCTGCACAACATCACGAATATGTGTAATGTCACCGACTGTACACTGACAAATGGTTAAAATGGTAAATTTTACGCTATGTGTATTTTAACACAACCAAAAAAGAAAAAAATTGGGCAAAAAAAGTTTGTGGGTGACATTGGCAAGTCATGGAACCAACCTAAGTGCCCTTCAGCAGACGAGTAGATGAAGAAGTGGTGGAATACTACACAGCTGTTAAAAAGGTATCCCTCTTGGGACAGAATAGATGGGCCTTGAGGTGATTTGTTAAGTGAAATAAGTCAGAAAGTGAAAGATACTAGACTGTATCACTTATCTGTGGAATATAAATTAATCAAAAAATTTACACAGGCAAAATACAGCAGGAATAAGTTTTAGATTCAGTGCAAGAATTTAAAGTTTACCAGAGGGAGCAGGAGGAAGGAGCACGGGGTTGGGGGAGGGCAGGTGGGGTGTTGGCACAGATGATTTGGTGGCAGGTGACTGGACTTGTACATAAATAGAGCAGCAAGAACATATCCCAAAAGTAAATATAACAATGTTTGTGGATTAAATCAAACGTAATTCACACAGAAAGCTTTAACACTTCAAACTTGAAAAACTGGTGTCTACATCACATTGTAGAGCGTAAAATGGAGTTAGCCTGCGTGGCATTTCCTTCCGACCCGCTGCCTCGGCGCTGCGGGCACCATGGTGAGCCAGGCTGGCTCACGTCAGACAGGCTGAGGCCGGCGCCTAGGCTCGGCTGCGTCTACCAGGGCTGACGACGTGCAGAGTTCCTCGAGGGCACTTGGTGTAAACCATGGCATGTGCGGTGAGGTGACTTGGCCCAAGTCACACGGAGAGGCTGCGACTCAGGTGTGAGCCCAGGCCCCTCGAGCACACCGTCGACCGGCCGAACGCTTCCCTCGATGGTCTCCCCAAAGCACAAGAAGCTTGCCAAGTACAGACTCCACCTTTCACATGCTAACCTGGAATCTTGGATTCTCGGCAAGAATCCAACCTGCGACCACCCCCCACCTCCACTCCCGCTGGGGGCCCCGTTGGCACCTTGCTCTGGCCTGTCTCCCCTCTAGACGGCTGGATGTCTACGCCCACGCTGGCAGGAAGTCACCTGGCCCAGAGAGCAGGGAGCAAAGGCAGAGTCACCTGCTCGTCAGCACTCACCTTGGCGCGTCCAAGGCCCGGATGACAGTTGAGAGAAGCCGGCCATCCCTGGAGGTCACCTGAGCCACATACTGGGGCGGCCCGAGGCCAGTGGCCTCCACAGCCTTAGAGAAGGCGAAGGCTGGGCTGCCGGAGCAGTCGCACAAGGACCCTGGGAGGTGGCAGCAGTCGCCGGTCGTCATGGCCACGGGGCGCCCCAAGTCCTCAGGGCCCGAAGCCCATGGTCCCAAGAGCCTGAGGAGAGCCCAGCAGCGAAGGTAAGTGCAAGGTCAGCCAGTCGACAGCCAGGGGTCTGAGTCCAGCTCTCGGTGCTTCAGCCACCTGATCTGCAAGACGGGTTTGGAGGCAGCTGTGAGGAAGCTCGGGGCCGCTGCCACAGCCCAGGCCCTGCGGCCAGCAGTGCGCTCCGAGCCCTGCCAGGAAGCCAGCTTTGCAGGCCACCCAGCCTCGCCTGCCCAGACAGGGAAACAACACCTCACAGCTAGTGAGCACCTCCTGTGCACCAGCCCTGTCCTGGAAGCTTCCAGAGCCACCACCCTGTGCGCCAACCACGAGGAACTTGCTCTATGAGGACAAGCTCCCAGCTCACGCCTGCCTGAGCCACAGGCTTGGCCTACAGACAGGGCAGCCTCTTGCGGGACTCTCAACTCCCAGGCCACAGGCCATGGAGCCGGCGGGCCAAATGGGGATGACGGTGGTGCCCTTCCCTAGGAAGAGGCAGTGGGAGCCTCAGGCAGCAGCCTGTCAGCCCTGGACGACTTCAGCAGGACTCTGCCGCCCACCCCTGGGTCTGGCCAGCCAAAGGGAGCTCATGGCAACTCCTCCTCCATCCCAGAACCAGCCAGTGCGATGTCTATGTGTCCCTCTGAGAAGTTTATGCAAATCACAGAGGCCTCTTGAAGTCAGGATGGGGGCCCCAGAGTCAATATAATACAATAGAAAACACCCCACTCGCTTTATCTTTAGCCCTCTGTCTCTGGGAGAGGATACCCATAGTCAGCTTCCACCAGTGAGCGCCAGTCAAAACCTGAGGCCCAAAGGAGAGAGGGGGAGCAGCACAAGTCACTGACTGGCGTTTGTACCAGGGTGGTGCAAACACAGATCAACCGCCTCCGAACAGCCGCGCCAGGCGCCTTCCGGCCCAACACGTCCTTCTGAGCCTCCACCGCTGGGCCATGGTGGGCCAGAGAAGCACGTGCCAGCCCAGAGGAGGGTGCCGAGGAAGGCTGCAGGTCCGAGATAATGCCCAGTGGGTGCTGCTATCCCTCCCCCGAGCGCCGGCGACCAGAAGGACCCGTCAGGGCTCAAAGAGGGCAGGAAGCCGCCGGGCTCACCAGGAGTGCGCGCAGAGCGGACACCACGCCTCCTAGCCCTCCAAGGGTCAGTCTGGACATTTCTGCAAGTAACTGGGCCTGAGGAGAACCATCACGGATGCTGGACATTAAGTGCGGAGGCTTTGTTTACTCTTTGGGGTAGGGTGCGGGCTGGGCAGGGAGGAAACCACTGTTACATCTGCGAATGCAAAGTCTACAAATAGCCAGAGCAGTCACAGCAGCTACTGCTTATTAAGAAGCTACTGCAGGCCCTTGCTAAGCCTGCAGAACTCGCAACAGGTGCTCAAAGTGTCCTCTTTAACGGTCACCTCCTGGAGAGGCCTCCCTGACCTGCTGTCCAATTACTGCCAAACTGAATGGACCCCTCTCTGGAAGCTTTTTTGTTCATCTACTTAATCACATCTGCCTTCCACGCTGCTATGAGCACTGGCAGGGGCAGACGGGCTGGACCATCACCTGCCCAGTAACCCGCCCGGTGTCTGGCAGAGTCACTGCAGTAGTTTCTCAACCACAACTCTGTGCAAGCGGGGGGGGGGGGGGGGCAGTGCATGGGACTATGGTGATGGCACATGGGTGACATGGTGATGGGAAACCTGTGGGGATGGGGGGGGCCCAGGCCGCTAGCCCTATCCACTCCCAGCCTCCATGGCGGCAATGAGAGATTTTTAGAGGTTTAGATAAAAGCCAAAGAGGCCTGGGGCCTTCCTGGGAGTGCAGAGCACAGAGGTTACAGGCTCGGTGCCATCAAGCTTTCAGCAGCCACTACAGCCAGAGTTTGATCCCCGCCAGGGTGGGACCCCCAGGGTGCAGCAGACCTCTCCTGTCTCCCGCTGCTCCCCTTGGCTGTGTGTTTCAGTAGACCCATCTGTTCTGCTCCCCACTCTGTCTCTGGTGAATCCTCTCGACATCCCCCCACACACACACACCTCTGACCTGTACCCCAGTTCTTGTATGAATTACAAACAAAGAAGCCCGGACTTGAAAGATGTCCAAGTGGAGGCTGGCTGCAAGGGAGGGTGGTTACAGACGACTGGGCTCCGGGCCGCTGCGCTGGAAGCGTGAGCCTCAAGCGAACACGGCCCTGTACAGGATGCATGTCAGCCAGCCCTCACAGCAAGCACACGTGGAGGTCCAGTAAGTGCCACCACTCGACAGCACAAAGAGAGGCGACTACTTGCCCAAGGTCACACAGTGAGGGTGGCACAGTGCCAGAAGTTGAACTTAGTCCGGTGAGAGATCTTTAAGGCCGGACTCTGTCACGATGTTGTGTGTCATGGGACAAGTCACTTTGCTTCTCTGAGTCTCTTCCTTCTCCTAGGTCAAATTACTTGGCAGAGGTGGTGGCCAGTGTCTGCTGAGGGGCTTCGTGAAGCGGAGCCCCACAGCTCAAGTCTACCAGCAGAGCTCGCCGGTGGCTAGGCCTGTCTGGGAGCAGTGGGGCCCCTCAGCCTTTCCACACCAGCCTGAAACTGAAGCAAGAGGAGTCAGAGAGCTTTAACTCCCACAGTGTCGGGCGGGCTGTTTTACGCCCTGGGCTTTTGTTTTCTCCTCTGTAAAAAGGGGGGCATGATGATATGCAGCTCATACAACTGCACACACTGAGAAGTTGGTAAGTCTTAGCTCTTGTGATCATTAGTGTCATCAACCTGAAGAGTTGCTGGGGAAGTTCAGTGAGGCAAGACACAGCCGGGACCTGGCAAACAGTAAGTGCTCAGTAAATGATACACTTACTCCTAGGACAGTTGTGGAGCCTGTAAAGCTGCTTCATTATTCTTCGCTCACCAGAGGCCCCCCTCAGCACTCCCGCCACCCTGCACTGGGCTCACATCTTAACCCCAGCTTTTTATGGCTGTGCAGCCCTGGGCAAAACACTCAACCTCTCTGAGCTTCAATCCCATCATCGGTATAAGAAGGAACGGATTCTGCACCTATTTTGGTCCCTGGAGAACTGAATAAGCCAGTCGTATAAATTCTGGCTACCCCATTTTTAGTTACCCCGGCACACTGCTAAACTAAGTCCTTCGCACATAGCATCTGGCTCATTATAAAAGTCACTCTTTTTCAGGCAGAGCCCCTCTGAGAACGAGGCTGGGGAGGCTGCTGGCTGCCCACTGACCGCCGCCTACTGTACGCTGGGCACTTTCCTCCACCGCCTCCTGGGTCCTCCAAATAGCCCCACTGGGTTGGCGCTGGGATGACCTGGTTTCACAAATAGGGAAACCGAGGCTCGGAGGGGCACCGACAGTGTGCGGGCCCCGGGGGCCTCCCGCCGCCCTCGAGGCAGGAATTGCGATGCCCTGGTTCCGGGTACGGCCGAGGCCGTGGGTCCGAGTCCGGCCGTCTGGCCGGGCGCTAGGCTCGGGCCTCAATTCCCGGGCCAGCCCGCCTGCCGGTACCCTCTCCCCGCACCCGACCCGGGGACCCGAGCCTACCTGACCCACGGCCGGGCCGGGCGGCCGCGCAGGCGCCCCGACTCGCTCTGGCCCCGGTCCCGGCCCGGCCGGTCTCGTCTGCGCTGCTAGAACTGCTCTGGCCCGCACCTGCGTCCGGACACCGCCCGCGGTGCCGACGGGGCCACGGACCAATAGCGACCGCCTCTCGCCAGCACTCGCCAATCGCCGTGCACGCCCCGCCCCAGGAGGCGGGGCCGGGACGACTGGAACGTCCTAGACCGCACAGGCCCAGCGGCGCCACAGCTGCTAGCTACGCCCCTGCCGCGTCCTGGCCGCACCCCCAGGCTCGGCCCCGCCCCTAGGTCCGGCCCCGCCCCCAGGCCCGGCCCCGCCCATCCCGGCTCGGGGCGCGATCGGAGCTGTTGGCGCCACCTGCCGACGGCTAGAGACTGTTAATAAAACCATTCGAGAACGCAACGTGACAACCAGCGAAGTGATAAAAAGTGTCCATCACCTCCCCTGCGCAGACGCCACATCAGCCTTGGGATCACACGGTAACAATTTACCGAGGAGAAACAGAAGCCTAAGAGGAGAGAGTGCCGCGGAAGAGCCTAAGCCAACACCACTTTTTCATCATTCACTTCTTCACCCATTTCACCCAATACATTCATTCTCTAGATGTTAGTGTCACTGAGACGACCTGCTATACACCAGGCACTGTGCTAGGCGCTGGGGACACACTGTTGACAAAGATAAATATTTTTGCCCTCGTGGACTTGAAGCTGGGACCTGAGACGTTAAACAACAGTTTGCATTTGTCTAATATTTCCGCAGGATTTATACATTTGGTAGAGGAATTGCAGGCATGAGATTGTGTTTAGTGCATATCAGAGGCACAGGGTTTCTTCCATTATCGACTATGCCAACTTGGTTAAAATGGTGTCAGCCAAGTGTTGCATTTGTCAATAAATGCTTTCTGTGAAAATACTTTGAAACTACTAAATCTTTTTCTTCAATAAACCTTCACCCACCTAATTTAATGGTCATTGATGAATCTAGCCTTGGTTAATCTTTATTATTGTTGTCGGCTTAAGCTAAGGGTTTTATTTTCATTTATAAGGTTTCTGGAAGGCATTGACTTGGTTAAATAATGATAGAATCAATTACTCTGAGATTCTCTTGGTAATTTTCTCGTGGTGGCCGATGGCTGCTGTCATGCCGACATCACACCTGCAGTCAAGGCAAGATTGGAAGGGTAGAGAGGTACTAGCCAGGCCTATTTTACATTTTTTTCTAATCAGGTAACACTTACCAGATTATGATTTTTCTGTCTTTGAGCACTTTCCTATCTACTGGCTTAACTGGTTTGTTTATTTACTGGCTCAATAAGGTATTCCATGGAACATTTTCTTGAATTTTTATCTGCCCCAGTTCTGGAATCAACCATTTCTCTGAACCTTAATTTTTTTTAATTTATTTCTGCATACAAGACTGGCTTACAGGCCAGTGGTGCCAGGGGTGGGGGGTGGTGAGAGGACTCCCCAGAGACAGAGTGGGGAGCAGAACAGGCAGATATACTGAGACACACTGCTGAGGGGAGCCGCGGGGAGACAGGCGAGGTCTGCTGCGCGCTGTGGTCGCTCCCTGGCCGGGGGTGGAACTTGGTGCTGCGGTGGCTGCCTGCAGGTAGAGCTGTGCTTTACCCTTCGCCACCAGGGAGGGCCCAGAACCTTAATTTAAATGAAAAATGATGTTTTGAGATGGAGACCTGTGTGTCAGGTGTGTTCACTGCTGCCACAGTATTAATTCTTGGTTCTCTCATCATAATAGGCATAAAGCTACCTGTACCCAAGCATCTATCAATCATCTGTCCTGCTCAGTATTTTAAAACCATTACCTCTAATTGTGTGTGTGTACCATTACCTCTAATTCTAATATGAAGATTTAGCCCAGCCTCTTTTTATGCATGTAACTTCCTTCCCTTTGAGAAGCCTGGCTCCATGGTCCTCGATGTATTAAATCATTTTTGCACCACCCTCACTCACCGTATGTAATCGAACTCCGAAACAGGCTGAAGACCCAGCTCCAGACACCCCACCTCCTACCCCAGCCCGCTCCCACCACACACCCAGCTGCGGGCCCACTCCCAATGTGGCCGCGGCAGACCTGTCCTGTCTCTCTGCTGCTCCCCTCAGCAGTGGGTCTCAGTGCATCTGCCTGTTCTGCTCCCCACTCGGTCTCGGGAATCCTCTCACCCCACTGCACCTTTGTTCCGCACCCCAGTTCTTGTAGGCATAAATAAATAAAACTTTAAAAAATAAATAAGCCCTTGAATTTTAACTAGAAGACTAATGTTAGTCACTTTTGTAGGCTACTTAAGTTCAAAGTCTTGAAAATTATGAAATCTGAAAATTGACAAGCAAAGGGAAGAATTAAGGATCTATGCTCACTTACCCAGGCTCAGGGTAACCGCATAGACAAGATCTTCTTTGTGTAATGGAATTCCAAGAATAAATGGAATTTTGACATCATTTAATAGTCCTCGATGTCTCTTTAAAACTAGATGATGCAGCCCTCCCTGGTGGCGCAGCAGGTTAAAGCACAGCACTGAGAAGCCACTTCTGCATGAGTTCGATCCCCGGAGGTGACCACATGGCCAGGCAGACCTCTCCTGACCCGCCCGCTGCTCCCCTCAGCAGTGTACTTCGTCGATCTGCCTGTTCTGCTCCCCACTCTGTCTCTGGTGAAGCCTCTCACCACCCCTGAGCCTCTGGCCTGTACCCCAGTTCTGTATGCCCAAATAAATAAATCTAAAAAAAAAAAAACTAGATGATGCTTTGCAGCAGCTAATATCACAAATGAGAAACACACTGACATCTGTCTCCTACTATATACACATGACATTACCTACAAGGTGTTCAGTGCTAATTTGATCAAGCTTCTAGAACTACAAATTTACAGGAAATGCAGGGGACAAAGTGATATCAATGACACCAATTGTGTAGACAGACAGAGATTAGTGGCTACTAGAGGTTGTAGGAGGCAGAAACAGGAAGTGACTGCCTAAGGGACACTGGATTTCTTTTGGAAGTGCTGAGTAGGTTCTGGATTAGATATGAAGGTTGCAGAACAGCAACTGGACATTTCAAGTCATTACATTGGTAAATGTGCTATGAATTTCATCTCAATCTTTTAAAAAGCAGAATCCAGGCTGAGGCATCACAGTGCAAATGATCCCGATTAAAAAAGAAAAAGGAGAAGCTCTGGTAGCAGCTGGAGAGACACCAGCCAGTTGGAACAAGTGAACCACTGCTACTGACTCAAAGGAGCCGTCAGAAGACTCCCGAGGTTCGGGGCACAGCACTGCCGAGCTAGACGCAGCCACTTGGGCAGAGCTCAACAACAGCCAGGCCAGGGCTCGAGCGACCCCCAGGGCACAGTGGACCTCTCCTTGACCCCACTGCTCCCCTCAGTAGTGTACTTAGTGATCTGCCTGTTCCGCTCCCTGCTCTGTCTCTGGAGAATCCTCACAGCCCGTGCACCTCTGGCCTGTACCCCAGTTCTGTGCGCACAAATAAATCTTTAAAGATCTACAAGACAACAGGGAGCTGTGAGGTGGCTAGCTATTTGACAGTTCTAAGAATAAATGCTCATCTTTTTAGGTGTGATAATCATATTGAGGTTGTTACCCAGAAGAGTCTGATTTCAAAATACCTGAAATCAATTGAAAAATTGATAGCGGGGACTGGCAAATGGGAGGCAATTAGGGAGTTCAGATGAATCCAGATTAAAGTGGATGATGGACATACGGGGGCGTATTAGGTTATTCTTTTTGATGTGTTTATATTTTTCTATAATAGAACTGAAAATTTAATTTTGGTAATTTCTTTAGTCTTTCCTCATTTAGATGGTGTTTCTGGCTCACATCAGACACTCATTAATACTCAAGGGCCCTCCCTGGTGGTGCAGCGGGTTGAAGAGCAGCGCTATGAAGCTGGCTGCAGCTGCTTCAGGATGTGTTCGATCCCCTGTCAGGGGGTGACCCCCAGGGTCTCACTCACTGCTCCCCTCAGCAGTGTACCTTGTCGATCTGCCTGTTCTGCTCCCCACTCTGTCTCTGGTGAATCCTCTCACTGCCCCTGCACCTCTGGCCTGTACCCCAGTTCTGTATGTATCAATAAATAAATCTAATAATACTCAGAAACGGCACCTGTGCTTAATAGTAACAAATACAGCTCTGGGGTCAAAACTGCATGCTTCCAATTGTGAGAGTCACCTCAGACTCTCACCCATAAAACTGGACTAGTGAATTGTGAATACTAAGTAATGACACTCTAGGGAGTTTTCTTTGTGGGCCTGCATTGTCCTCATGTCAGAATTTTTCAGTTTAACAGGGCTCGAGAAATTAAACACAGAATTACCATCTGAACCAGCAATCCTACTTCTGGGTTTACACCTGATTTAAAAGTAGGATTTGAATAAATACTTACATATCCAGTTTTATAACAACATGATTCACAGCCAAAAGGTAACTGAGAAACAATCTAAGCACAGAAAGATGAGTGGATGAACAAGTGGAATGTTTATGGTGGAGTATTACTTAGCCTTAAAAAAGGAAACAGACCCACTACAACATGGATGAACCTTGGGAACATCATGCCCTTGTGAAATAAACCAGCCACGAAAGGGTATTATAGGATTCTACTGATCTGGGGGGTTAGCAGACACATTTATAGAAAGTAGTGGGGAGGGGAGGGAGCCACACACGGGTTGAGGGAATGCGGAGCTACTGTTTAATGGGGACAGACCTTCAGAGTTGGACAGGCTCTGTCAACAGAACTGTGTACATCGAAATGGTTAAAGTGGTGAATTCTGTGTATTTTATCTTAAAAAAAAAAAACAAAACTTGAGAACAAGGCCTGAGTGAGTGAGCTTGGCTCACTGCCTCGCTTCATCTCCTGAAGCCCTACCCTGCCCAGCCCCCCGGAGTCAGTGCCCTCAGGGCGGTGTGCACAGGCCAGCAGCCCCAGGCCCCCCAGATTCCTGCCCGTCTGACTACTCCCGACTGGGCAGCACCCCTGAGGAATGAGTCTGGGTTTGCCCACCCTCCAGGCAGGGTGCCTGGAGCCTGGTGGGCCAGGCCGGACCCCTAGCGGCTCTCCTACGGCAAAGGCACAAAGGGCCTCTTCGAGCAGAGGCTGGAGCCCTTAGAAGAGCAGCCGCACTCGGGTGAGGCCACGTGGGCAGCGCAGGGAGGGGGAGCCCACAAACCTCTAGTCTAGGGAGTGGCCCTCTGGCCTCCATGGTGGGACACCACTTCGGGCCAGCCCTGTCGCATGCACAAGAGGGGCTGGATCCCGGGGAGACGCAGAAGAACCCCAGGCCATCCACCTCCCCGTCACCAGCGTCCTCCCAGGACCTCCTCAAAGGCTCGCCTGGAGTGGACAACTGGCATTGCCTGCCCCCAGGTATCCCCTCCCGACGCTGAGACCTGGAAGAGGAGCAGAGGCACAGTTCACCCCGGCCAAGAAGGTACCCTCGAGTGCCAAGGCTGTTAGGTGGTCCTTAGGCCGGAGAGTACCCCCTATGCTCCCAGGCTTCCCTCCCTCCTGGCCAGCCGCAGGGGCAGCTTGGAGAGGGCCCACGCCACCTGGACAGGTCAGTTCAGGGCCCACCACACTGTCCTGGGCAGGGCAGGGCAGGGCAGGGCGGACGGCCTCCCAGGGCTCTGGCTGGCCTTCAGCTGCTGGGGGACTGAGCCAGGCCGAGGCCTGCAGCAGGGCACACGCGGCCGGGGGCCTTGGCTCCGAAGCGGCCACCTGGCGGGCAGAAAGAAGACAAAGGCGCAGCGGCAGGTTTCTGTACGGAGTCCGATTATACATTTCAGTAACGGCGGGGGCCAGGGGGCAGGGCAACAGCGCCGGGCCACAGGGAGAATAAGAGATCGAGAGCTAGGGTTTGGCGTAAATCTTACAAAGTGTATAAAGAGTCTGTGTTTCTCTACAATAACAAAAACCAAAGGCTACCAGAGCAGTTATATATACAAAACACGGAGATATTGCTTCACTTGCAAACGGGTTCCTGACCAGACAGGGAGACAAGACAGAAGGGCACGGGGTGAGCGGAGCGCGCGCCACGTGCAGAGGGCGGTGGGAGAGTCTGCCCCAGCGTAAATCTACAGGCAGGAGCTGTCCGAGGCGTGCGGTGCTGGCTGTGCGTGGGGGAGCAGCGGTGCCGAGGCCAAGTGTCCGCCTGCCCGGCCCCCTGGTGCCTTGCTCTTCGGGCTGCAGCCTGGAGGAGGGATGTGGGTGGGGGCCGGGGGCCAGAGAGGGAGAGGCCACCACCCCCCGCAGTCTGCCGTGGGGAGCTGGAGAAGCCTGCTCGGTGCGCGCGCCTCCTGGCTGCTGGCCGGCCCTGGCCACGCCGCCACCCTCCCGGCCCTGCCGCTGCGCCCCGGGGCCCCGGAGAGCGGGCACAGAGCAGGCCTTCTAGCTTGCCTCGGGCGACACTGGGGTGCACTCGGCTCCTGTTCTCCCCAGACCCCGGCCTGGCTGCACGGGGCTCAGCGGAGGGTGGGAGCCGGTCACAGAGGGGCGGGGAGGGCGGGAGGACAGTGCGGGGACGGGCTGCGGACAGGGCCGGGGCGCACGCTCGGCGCGTGCGCAGTCACAGGTTCTGGCAGCACTGCAGCCTGCTGGGCTTCTGTCCGTCGGCGGTGGGCGGCACGCTGATGTCTACCACGTTGTTGCCGGGCGACTCGTCGTGGGCTGCGCGGTCTGCGATCTGCTTCTGCGACACGATGCGGTAGATCTCTGCAAGCGGGCAGGGTGAGTGCGCCTTGTGCCCCTGCCTGGGGGGGCGGCAGGCTCACTGCTGCATCCGCCATGCTGAACCCCTCCCAGAGGCCCCCGCCATGCCCTGCACCCCCATCACGCTGGGGGAGCCCTGGCAGCGCTGAGCTCCTAGAACTGCCCACTCGCCCGCACGGGCGGGCACTCAGCAAGGGCAGCCCCCGGCGGATGTGCGCTCGGGTTCAGCCCTCCTAAGCCACCGCCAGAGGCCGGCCCTTCAGCAGGAGGCCCAGGAAGTCGGGGAGCCTGGGCCGAGACCCGCCTCCCCTCCTTCCCTCACCCCTGCAGACGACTGGTCTCAGACTGGGGGCCAAACGCCAGCAGGGAGGACCCAGCCCCGAACACGCCGCCAGCCCTGTCAGCAGCCCCCGTAGCCACCTGTGAGGATGTTCTTGAAAGCTTCCTCTACGTTGGTGGAGTCCAAGGCCGAGGTCTCAATGAAGGACAAGTTGTTCTTCTCTGCAACAGAAAGAGACCGCCCTGGTAAGCAGAGAGCCGCCTGTCTGCTCACCGGCTGGAGGCAGCGCGGGGGGCCAGGGCTGGTGCTGTGCCTGGGGACAGTCAGCGCAGACGGGGGGAGCCGTGGGGCGGGGCTCCCTGTCCTCCAGACGCTTCCCAGGAGTCTGCAGCCCCCGCCAGCCCCCTCCAGCCCAGCACCGCGCACCTGCGAAGGCTCGGGCCTCGTCGGTGGGCACGGCCCGCAGGTGGCGCAGGTCGCTCTTGTTGCCCACCAGCATGATGACGATGTTGCTGTCGGCGTGGTCCCGCAGTTCCTTCAGCCAGCGCTCCACGTTCTCGTAGGTCAGGTGCTTGGCGATGTCATACACCAGCAGCGCGCCCACGGCGCCGCGGTAGTAGCTGCGGGCACAGGCGGGCGGGAGCCGTGGCAGTGCGCACCGGCCTCCCCACTCCGCAGCCCGCTCCCAGGCCCTGTCCTGACGCCTGATTCCTCCCCAGACTGAGCTCAGCGCGCAGGGGGGCACGAGGGCGCTGCAGGGCGGGCGCAGGGACGGGGCAGGCCTGCCGGATCAGCCCCTGCTGGGCAGCCAGCAGCCACGGGACCACGCCCCAGGGAGGACGGGGCTCCGGGGGGCTGTGGCGCCACCACCCCGGCCGCCGTGGCCGACAGCGCACGGCCCACCTCCCTGAGGGCCCCCCAGCTCCGAGGGTGCCGACCACCCCGGGCTCCCTACTCATCCTCTGGGCCCGCCAGACGCGCGATGCCAGCGCGCCCACTCACGCGGAGGTGATGGCGCGGTAGCGCTCCTGGCCGGCCGTGTCCCAGATCTGCGCTTTGATGGTCTTGCCGTCCACCTGGATGCTGCGGGTGGCGAACTCCACGCCGATGGTGCTCTTGCTCTCCAGGTTGAACTCGTTGCGGGTGAAGCGCGACAACAGGTTGCTCTTCCCCACACCCGAGTCTCCGATAAGCACCACTGTGGGGGAAGGAGGGCGTCGGTGAGGATCCGTGTGGGCAGAACCCCGAAGCAGCACCTTCCCGATGCCGGTGGCGGGCGCGCAGGCTGACGGCGACCCGGCCACCGTGACCCACCACCATCCCGCCTGTCTCCCGTCCTGTCCTCCAGCACAGGGCTGCCCAGGGCACACCACCAGCAGGCCGGGCAACCTGGGACAGGTCACACTGCCTTGCCAGGCTGAAGGAGGGAGTGAAAAAGCCGTCAAGGAGGAGCCGCAGAGAGTGCAGCCCGCGCTCAGCGCTCGCTCCCCAGCTCCACCCTCGCACGCATCAGCTCTGCGCCCAGCACTCACCCCTTGCCCTCCCAGCTGCTTCCCAGAAAGCGGGCAGCTGGCAAAGCCATGCTGGGCCCCAGTACTATCCCCCAGCTAGTAAAGGCTGTGTGCCCTCCAGGCGCCACTGGGCAGGAACAAAGCCTCCCACCCCCTTCCAGCACCTGCGTCCCCAGGGTGAGACCAAGACCAGGCCCCTGAGGCAGGGCAGGCAGGCCAAGATGGCCACTCCCTCTATCCTGTTTCCTGTCTCACCCCACCGTGCCTCCAGGGACCCAGACCCAGGCAGGCTGTCCCCAGACCCAGGACACAAGGAGGCACATCTGTGTGCGCGCGCAGCACAGGTGACACAATACGCAGCCACCGAGCCAGGTGCCTCGGCAGGACCCCGGGTGCACCGGCGTCAGGCGCACAGGCTCTGGCGCTGGGCGCATGCCACCTGCCCTGTCTGGCCTCGGATGCAGCCATCTCCCCCTGGGCGGCTGTGCCATCTTCCTCCTTGGTGTCCCTGAGTCACCCTTCTCCCTCCCCCACGGGCTGTTCCCCTCCTGGCCGCCAGAGGGCACCGGTGAGCACCTGGCCAGACACCGCCCCTCCTCTGCCTGTCCTCTGCCCTCCCAGGGCTCCCACATCCCTCTGGAAAAGCCAAGTCCTCCCTGAGGACTCACGCTGCCCTGTCACACCCTCTTGGCAGCCGGCTCCTACTCTCCTCCCACTCAGCGGCCCCTGTCGTCGGCGCAGGGCTGCTCTTGCTGAGGCTCACCCTCACCTCAGCCTATGCTTCCCGCTTGGCACTAGAACAGGCCTGCCCAGTCACCTCTCAGGCCACACTCCCTGTGCTCCCCACCCTCCCCTCCCCTCCTCTGGAGTGCTCACCACCCTTTCACACTCACCACCTTCACTCATTTGTTTTCGCCAGTCTGCCTTGAGGGTGGCACCTCAGACAGTCTTGTTCCCTGGCCTGGTATCATGCCTGGCACAAAACACCCTAGCAAGATAGGCCGACAAACAAAGCCAAAGCAATTGGCAGGGCCCGGGCTGAGCCATCCCACCCTAGCAGCCCCCGCCTCCCTGCATCGCCTCTGGCCTTGCTGTTCGGGAACGAGAGAGTAGTAAGACGGGGAAACCCTTTAATGTGCATCCCCCACAGGGCCAACTCTACGGTATCACAGACGAGGAAGCTGAGGCCCAGACAGAAAGGCGAGCCCATGGCACCAGCCGAGTGGGACAGAGCAGAAGAGAGTCTGAGGCCGGCTGTCTGCGGCTCCCGCCTCCCAGTCATGTCACCAAGCAGTGACTCACGGGCCCGTCTGGGAAGGGGCACCGGCAGACCTGAGTGGGGACCAGAGCTGAGCTCGAGGGTCCTGGTTCAGCCTCGTCCTCTCCCACTGCCGGGACACCCTAACCCCTGGAGAGACCGGCGAACCTCTCAGTTCAGGCCTCTCCTCTCCCCAAAACCACCTGGCAGGCCCACCAGGTTCACGGTAACCGGCCGGTGTCCTCTCACGGCAGCGCGGGGTCTAAGACTGCGGGGCCCCTGCGGAGCAAGGTGCCAAAATGTCAAGACGGGCAGGGGCCTGCAAGCCCAGGCCAAGGGCGGCCAACCGTGCTGGCAGGGCCACTAGTCAGCCCCTGGGCTACAGGGACCAGGCTGGCCAGCCAGCGGGCCACACCATAACACACAGCCCTCCGGCGGCGGCCCAGGCCGGTGTGATCTGCTTACAGGTGTCACAACCTCGGGAACCCAACGGGAAGTGGCGCAGATCCCCTCGCCCCACCCTGGCCCTCCTGCCCTTCTCCTTCCTTCCCAGCCTGCCTCAGTGGCAGCTCAGGTCCCCGAGCCCCACCGGTCCCAGGCTCTGTCCTGGTCCAGCTAACCGTCCTCAGGCACAGCCATGAAAACTCTGCTTGGCGAGTTCTCAGACTGGCCAGGGACATGTGTTCACAGGACCATTCCCATTGTTCAGCTGGGGACACAGCCCAGAGGGTTCAAGTCCCTCGTCCAAGGTCACCGAGTAAGAACAAGAGGCCAGAGCAGGCCGAAGGCCAGCAGCAGCCGCAGTGCGAGGGAGCGCCGGGAAGGTCGGCTGCCCGGGCGCTCTCGCACTCGCGCTGCCCCGTGCAGGGGTGAGCAGCAGGCGCAGCCAGGCTGGCCGTGTGCGGGCTGGGAAAGACGGCGAAGGCCTGCTGCCTCGGGGAAAGGAGGGGCCCTTGAGGACGTGGCCCCCAGCGTTTCCCCAGAGGCCGGTGGCACCACTGCCTGGAGAGCGGCTGCCCGGGACATGCTGCTGGGCTGCAGAGCAGGCAAGCCTAGTTGGCGAAAGAAAGAGCTGGCACCTCTTGAAAGTTCTGGGCTCTCTGATCTGCAGCGTGACTGTGTGGTGCCCTGGAGCCCACACTCTGACCCGCACGTGGATTGTGACCGTTTGGGGTTCTGGCTCCTTCCCTCCGGAGGCCAGCGCTGGCCATCCCGGGGACCAGGCCTTGCTAGACCTGCCCGTAGGGCACAGAGAGCCGCGCCCAAAGCCAGGCTCTAGGGGGTACCCCATGCACAGGGGGAAACAGTGCCCTCAGGTCCTGCACCAGGTCAGGAGTGCCTAGAGCTGGCCGGAGAGAACCGGAGCTGCCTCACCCGGGTCTGCTTCCTGGGAGCTAGGAACCCCCCTCTCCTCACCCCCATGCCCACAGGGCTCCTACACAGGGCAGGGGGCAGAGCACGGGGCCAGAGCCGAGGCCTCTGTGCAGCTTCCCACAGGACCATGCCCTCCCTGGAGGACCAGGCAAGTGGTTGGGCCTCTGGTGAGGCCTCTCTAACCCTTGGGGACACCGCTGCACCCTCTGTGGAACCCATGGTCATCCTATCAGGGGAACGGCCGGGTGCGCCCAGGAATCCATGGGCAGGTTGGGAAAAGGGCCCTGACCGGTAAGATAAAGTGTCAGCAGGATACATGTGAGAATCTATAATTAGGTGCAGATAAACAGCCTTGCTCCTGGGGGAGGGGAGTGTGCAAGGAGGAAAATAAACAGCACTGGGGAAAACATGGGGGGATGGGGCTGGGGGAGCCAAGAGTGATGTCGGAAACAACAAGCAGTGGCGGGAGGGCTGGCCCGCAGGCCCCGGGGCCAGGTGAGAGGCGCAGCCTCTGGCGAGGGCAGGTCCCTAGGCGACCAGCCCCTGGGGGAGGCCCGGCCTGGGGGTGGAGAGGGGAGATCTTATGTGAAGGGCCCCCCACAGAGTGGCAGGACCAGGACTGGGTGTCCCATGGCAAGGCAGGGCAGCCCTGCCAGCCCTGCTGGCACAGCGGGCCTTGCCACCTCTGATGCCCGGCCTGAGCCCTGCAGGCCACGCCCCGTCTAGGTGCAGCACAGTCCTGACTGCACCACAGAGCTGGCGTAAGCGACATGTACACACCCCTCGCTCCTTCCTGCCTTGTTTGCTGGAGCCAGGTAGGTTTCTTTTTCCTTTTTACGTTTAATATTTTAAAACAATATTAAAACTAAGGGGGAGGGAGATCGCCACAGGCATAAGTGTGGCTGAGAACGGGGTGCCTAAGCCCCAGGCACGCTGACCTTGGTGCTTAGACTGTCACTACACATCGGCTTGAGGTCAGCAGATTACCTGCTGCACCCATAAAAGGGGGCCTGTGGGGGGAAGGCAGTGAGGCAACCAAGAATCCCCCCACACCAATTGCTGCAGAAGCCTGCGCGGTTTCCAGAAAGCAGCTCCGGAGATGAACCCTAGGAAGTGCACAGCTGCCCCATTGCCCCTGACCCAGTCACAGTACTTCTGGGAACATACTTCAAGGAAATAACCCAAAGGGCAACTCGAGGGCTTGTGTAAGCCCTGGAGCTGGGTTATTTATAACATCAAATGTTGAAAATAACAAGCGGGAATGACCACAGAAGCTGGGGGGGCATGCCCCCGCCCTGGCAGCGCTGCCCAGGAACGGCTACCTCACCACAAGCTGAGCAGAGACAGGCATCAGCTGCAAGAGGACTGGAGGCCAGTCCACCTGTCAGCAGCTTCCAAAGCTTCGTCCGCTTCTGCAGCAAGCCCCAAGGCCCAGCTGGCACTAAGTCGGCAGCCTGAGCACACAGCAACATGCCAACTACATGCAGACCCTGAAACCCACAGTGCTGTGCAGCAAACCCAGGCTTTCTCATGGGCCCCGCTCTGCCTGGAATCCTCTCACCACATGGATATGCCAGGCAGGGTACACCCCACAGGCCCATGGATCCCTGCTCACAAGATGCTGAATGACACCCAGACACAGCAGTCGGAGTGTATTGTGGCTCCAGACAGAGAATACACTCCCGGGGTTGCTGGCTTCCCCGGTGTAGGAAGAAGCCAAAGGCTGACATGGGAGGGAGACCCTCACACAGCTGCAACAGGGCAACTATGTCCCATGTGGGCTCAGGGGTTAGCTCTCAAGGGCGGCCCCTGTCAGCCTGAGAGCCCGGAACGGACAGCAGCGGACCTGGACAACGCCCAGCCTGGCATAGAAGGCTCTGTGGGCCAGCGAACCCTTAATCAGCCACAACTCCCTCGGCCTGGAGTGTTCCCAGCTTAAAAGGATCAAGATGAGGAGCCTCCCCACTGGCCTCAGGCGCACACTGGCTGCGAGGTAGCCTGACCCTTACCTGATGCTCTCTGCAGGATGCAAAGGCCCAGGTTCGGCAGGGCAGGTGTAGGGGAGGCAGTGTGACAACCCCAGTCCCAGATGCTGGCCTCGACTCCCCCACTTCCTCTCCCTAAGCCCACAGCTGGCCTGGGCTCCAGCACTGCATCCTATTCTCTGGGCCTTAGTTACCGGGTCTATAAAGACACGTTGGGTAATAACGACCCAGCAAGGTGTGCCGAGGGATGCAACGAGTTCCAGCGCGTGGTTTTCGGAAAAGTGCAGCTCCTGGAGTAACGTCACTATTAACACCAAGCCTGGGTCCAGCATACAGTGCCCCGCCCCCGGGCTCCCTTCCCCCGGCTTCAGCAGTGCACCCCAATCCGGGGTCTCCCTCCACCCCACGACCCCTACAGTCCACCCTCCGCTGCAGGGCCCCGCCCAGCCGCGCCGCCACCAATCAGCCAGGGCCCCGCCCACCTGGCAGAGCACCGTCCCCATTCGCGCAGCCCGCGCAGCGGACACGCCCACCAAGCCCTAGCTCCGCCCCCAACGGCCTCGCCCCCACACCAACGGAGCTTTCCACTCAATCCGGCCCGCCAAATATAAGGGCGGCCCGGCCCCTCCGAAGGCCCCGCCTCTAACGGCCTCTCCCCCCCGCTCAGGCCCCGCCTCCCCGCGGCCCCCGCCCCGCCCCGGCTCGCCCAGGGCCTCTAGGTCTCTCCGAGCTGCCCGCTCCTCACGGCCGCACGTCCCGGCCTGGAGCCGACGGAGCCTGGCCTGCCCCAGCCTTCCCGACTGCCTGACTCGCCGGGGCCCGAGCCCCGCGCTCCGGGCTGGGCCCAGCGGCCTGGCCTGCGCCTCGGCTACACTGCCTGCTGCCTCGTAGCCGCGTCCTCGCCTGTCCATGCCCCACAGGCCTCACCTTTGAATAGGTAGTCGTACTCGTCGTCCCGGGTCCCCATTGTCCTGGCGCTTCCGGCGGGATCGGCGACTCCGCAGCCCCACCACAAACACCCGACGGGGGCGGAGCCGGCGCCGCACAGAGCGGCGGCCAGATGACCAATCAACGGCGGGTGGCGTAGAGACCGGCACCTAGGGGAGCCAATCAACGGCGGAAGCAGAGATCCCGGGGTGGGCGCCGTTTGGAATCCACCCTCCCGGCCCTCAATCTCCTAGAGAAAGGCGGAAGGAATGCGGACCTTTCTGAAGTGACGGGCGCGCCAGCCAATCAGAGGTGGACTCGGGAAGACGGCGCGAAAGACTGGCGGAGTGAAAGGGATTGATGGAGCGAGCAGCCAATGAGAGGCTTGATTCAAACCGTAGCCGACTATCAAGGACCTGTCTGGGAAGAGGTTTAGGACTGCGTCCAGGTGATGCTACGCTGTTTAACGTTCTGATGATGTCATAGGTCAACGCGCGCTGCTTGCCCCTCCACCCTTAGGTGACTTTGGGGTGGGGGGGCAGCGGGTAGAAGGGCCTCTGGCGGGGCCTTTTTACCGAGATTATGTCTCCGCTGTGGCTTCTCACTGGTGACTCCTGGTGACACTCCGTGGCCTACCTGCCCTGTCTAAGTGGGAAGAAACTCACCTGTGGAAACGGTAGCGAATAGCTAGACATTTCCCTACGTGCGGAATAACTGGCATTAAGTCCCCCGCCAGCATAACCTCTTGGCCGAAGCCCCGGATCTCCAGCTCGCGCCAACATCGCTGTCCCTCGCTCTCACCCACGGGACTCATTACTGACTGAAATTAAAGAATGTATTTCTTTCTTGACCTCTTAATCTGTGTAGCTGCTGTCCCCATCTACAGACCATCTGCCCCGAGAGAACAGGGCCGTGTCTGGTCACAGTCACTGGTTCTCCCAAGGCGTAAAAATAGTTGAAGAATGTAGGCTGAGAGCGCATGTGTAGCCGGTGCCGGTTGCGCTCATCATTGTGGCCTGCTGGACCTCATCCCTGTATCTCCATCGGGCATCCCTGACGCAAACTTCGCCTCCTTCTCACATCCACCCTTTCGGTGTCCTCAGCCCCTGCCCCATGCCAAATGGGGGCAAAGCAGGCCTTGACTCTCCTCCTTTCCCTTCCTCCTTCCCTTCCCCCTTCAGTGGTGTGTTCAGCCCCTCCTTCTCCCTAGTTGCTGCCTCTTCTCGCCCCTTCTGCTGCCACCAACCCATTCCTGGCCCCATCTGTACCTGTGCAGCTGCCTGCTCCCAGTTTCCCTTCTCTGGCCTGCCTCCACCACAGCAAAGGCTGTCTTTGTAACAAGTCAGATCACCTCACCCCTCTATTTGGACACCTGCTGTGTCCCAGGTACCCCTCTCGGTGCTGGAGACTTAGTGTTGAACAAGACAGGAGTCCCAACCCCCGTGAAACTGACAGTCTAGGGGGATGGTCCCCAAGGAGCCAGTGAGCAACAGTTTCAGAGTGGGGAGCGTGTGGTGAGGGTGCCATGTGCACAACCAAGGCGAGGGGATGGAGGAGTTCCTTCACGCGGGAACCAGGGAAGACATCCTGGAAGAGGCGGCATGTACCTGGCATCTCTGGGAGTCTGAGGAGGTAGGGGGAGGAGCATTTGAGACCAAAAAAAGGTGAGTGGGACAGAGCACGCACAGTGGGTCAGCACAGCTTTACATTGCCAGATTTTCTGCCCCCTCCCTTCCCTGGTCCAGCACAGGAGAGCGCAAAGCCGCCTTCAAAGGCGGAGTCTAAGTAGGCCCCATTCCTGGACCTGGAGATAAAGCCAGGCTTCTCCCACACACTGATGTCCGAGGAACCAGATAAAGTAGACTTAATAAGGGCTACTGGGCTCTGCAGCCTTGCAGGGCTTAGAAAGGGAAGGGTTAAATCCTTCCCTTTCTCCCCCTAGCATCAGCTTGGAACAGGAACCGGAATCCCTCCCCGGAAGATTACCTTCTTAATGTCAGTGACTCCCTGCCCTACCCATGTGAACCACAGTCGAACTTGTGTGTGTTGAAACAGCTCTCGGAGTAAAAGCTGCTGGACTGTGCCACGTTCAAATTCTCACCTTGATTATTCAATAAACTGTCACTGAGCCTTTATTTCCATTTAACAAAGCAGTGATGGCGGCCCACGCTGGTGGTGCCTCAGGTTAGGGCGCTGCACTATGAAGCTGTCTGCAGCCACTGCAGCATGAGTTCAATCCCCGGCCAGGGAGGGACCCACAGGGCGCAGCGAACTCGCCCTCTGCTCCCCTCGGCAGTGTACTTCCATCAGTCCGCCTGTTCTGCTCCCTACTCTGTCTTTGGTGAATCCTCTCATCTGGCCTGTACCTCACTTCTGTATGCATAAATAAATAAATCTTAAAAAAAAACCAAAAACACCAAATACCTTTTAAGTTGAATGCAGAAAAAAATCAGAAAGTGTCCCTGAAATGGGGGACCCCTGGGAAGTGTACATTCTAGCGCCCTGATTAAGTAGCTAGCCTAGAAAGCTAAACAAATAATAAAGACGAGGTCAGGATGAAGTGGTCTTTGTGCAGCAACCCTGGTCCATCCTCTCCAGGCCCCTGAGGCGCTCCGCCACACGCTACAGTCAGCCAGTCAGCCGCATTCCTGCTCTGCGTCTCAGCTTGCCCCTGCCCCTCGGCACCTGCAGTGTTTCCAGTCACAGCTCCACTCAGGGTTTGATATCCTGCCTTGGTTACTTATTACAATGACTTCCTTTTTTCTCTTTTATCGTCCTGTTTATCATTTAAAGGTTGCTTAATGGCCCACTAAATTAACTTAGGGTGTCTCACTGAAACCAAGCCTAAAGGATGAAGGTGCTTTCAGACCCTAAAAGCATTTTTCTCCTCAAGGCTGTTCTTACAGAAAGTTCCTCAGGTTTGCCAACACCCTGCACCCTGAGGCCGGAGACTTACATCACAGGAGAAGAGGGGACTGCCCAGAGGTGGGGACATCAACAAAATTCAAAATTTGTTATGTGAAGAAAAGCCCTTTCAACCTTCAAGTCCCCCGGGGACTTGCCAGTGAACTTCAGCCAAGGCCAAAAGCACATTTCTCTGCCCCAATCTGCTTCTCAGTAAAATTTGACTCCTCTGTTTCACCCCTGGCCCCTCCACCCCATATAACCTGACTTCCTTTCTTCTTTTTTTTTTTAGATTTCTTTATTGATACACACAAGAACTGGGGTACAGGCCAGAGGGGCAGGGGGTGAGAGGAGTCACCAAAAGGCAGGGTGAGGAGCAGAACAGGCAGATTGATTAGGTACACTGCTGAGGGGCAGCGGGGAGACAGGAGAGGGCTGCTGTGGGTCACTCCCTGGCCGGGGATCGAACTCGCTACAGATAGCTTCACTGTGCTGCGCTTTGACCCTGGGCCACTAGGGAGGGCCCCCTGACTCCCTTCTTAGGGAGGGAGACTTGAGTGGGGTTTTTCCTTCTCTCCTGCCTTGTCTGACTTAGACCTCTCTCTGCTTCAGGCACCCTTGTTTTCGTAATTTTGATCCTAGGTACACGGAGGGATGTGGTTTATAGAGGTCAGCAGCATTGCAAACAACCTTAATGTTCAGCAGGGTTTTTTTGTTTTGTTTTGTTTTGTTTTGCTTTGCTTTGCTTATGCATAACAGTGACATAATTCCTGGCACTTTAAATAAAAAAAAAAAAAGGAAATCCATACGAAAACTTGACTCCCCCAAACTAAGGTTGTCCTCCGTCCTGGTACTTGTTTTAGGGCCCGCACACACCCTGAGATATCAGACCCCATGGGTGCCCGGTTCCTTGGTAACAGCCAGGCCGCCTTATGCTCGAATGGGGTTGCACCTGTGGGAGCACAGACAGAAAATCGGAATACGCTGAACCCTCGTGGTGCAAAGTTGGCACTGCTCAAGAGGGAACCGCGTATCCCAGTAAAGCTGGGAAAAGGCGAACGGAGGCTGAAGACATCAGCCCACCGCACCTGAACGAAACACTTCGGCACATGTATCGTTAACTAGCGTCCAATGTTTGTTTATGGCTCTTTCGCACCGTTTTTGCAATGTGTAAAATTCACACACAGTGGATGTACACTCACCAAGTGTGCACTCACCAAGACTAAGAGGCACCCCCAGAGCGTCCCACCACTATCAAAGTTCCGAACCATCATTACTTTGGCAGGTTTCGAGCTCCTTCCCAGGCAACCCCATGCGACCCCCCCACCCCATCCTTAGTTTTCCCCTCATCATTGACCAATTTCTAGCTAGAATTTTAAAGCATTGGTATCGTTTTATTTTCATTAACTTTAGCTTACTGCCCTGTTAAAGATTGGGATGGGTGTTTCCATTTTTGAGAAACTAGTTCCCGAGGTCCCAACATGCGGGGACCAGCTGCTTGGCATCGGTTCCCCAGCTTTCCTTTGACTCCCCGGAAGCGTTTCCGTTTGTCCCGTCAATTACAGACCCCCGGTTTGTAATGGAAGATGCTGGAAGGGGGCTCAGTAAGAGCAGGGACCTTCCTGTTCAACAGAGCACCCCACGCTGTGCTTCAACCCATTGCACCACCCGGGAGGGCCAAGGCTGAGACTTTTTTTAAAGATAAGTAAATCATGGCCCTCCCAGGTGGCGCAGCGGGTTAAAGCACAGCATTAAGAAGCTAAAGCCACTTCTGCATGAGTTCGATTCCCGCCTGCCCGGGAGGAGAGCCACAGGGCAACGCAGACCTCTCCTGGCCCACCCGCTGCTCCCCTCAGCAGTGGACTTCGTCGATCTGCCTGTTCTGCTCCCCATGCTGTCTCTGGTGAAGCCTCTCGCGGCCCGAGCCTCTGGCCTGTACCCCAGTTCTGTATGCCCAAATAAATATAAAAAAAAAAAAGTATATCTTTAGGGAAAAAAAGAAAAAGATTTATTATTTCTCTATACAGAACTCAGGTACAGGTCAGAGGTGCAGGGCGGTGAGAGGATTCACCAGAGGCAGAGCGGGGAGCAGAACAGGCAGATCGACGAAGTGCACTGCTGAGGGGAGCAGCGGGGAGACAGGAGAGGTCTGCTGAGCCCAGGAGGTCACCTGGGGCCCTGATCAAACTATGGAATTGGCTGTGCCAGCTTGCAGTACTGCACTTTCACCATTTTGCCACCAGGGAGAGCTTCAGGGCTGAGACTAGACCCTGTGCGTCCAGGGAGGCTCTGATGTTCATCTATTTGACTTGATTTATTGTGATGGACACCCAAAAGTTATAAAGCAACGTTACTCCAATAGAATGTTCTAAAAAATATTCCTAAAATGTATTTCACTTTTCTACTTTGGTTTCTGACGTTTTAAATGTCGTTTTTCCTGCAAATGCGACGACCGGAGAGTACACTTGTGGCCGCGTTTCCATCAGATGACGGTCAGCGAGGCGATGCCTTCTCCCACCTGCTTGCAGGCGATGAATCACAGCTTGGTCTGGTTTTAAAATTTCGAAAATGCACACGAGAGATACACATCCCGAGGTAATAAACGGAATTAAAATCAGCGGTCGGAACAGTAGGAGTAGCTACTTGACCTCGAGGGAGACGGGAACAATTGCCCTCCGCCCTGGGAACATGTTTTCGTGAACTTTGAAACGGCTCCCTTTTCAAACAAACCAAAGGACAAAGAACGAGATGTTCCGAGTCTGCTTTTATTCTAAGCCTTCCGTGAGCTCCACCCAGACCATCACTGCCAGTTCACCCTGTGGCACCCACGCAGCTGTGCCACCAGGGCGCGGCCCGGCCAGTCAATGTGACTGAATCCACCGCCGGGGGCTGGTCTGACGCCCCCCGCAGTTCACCTGTGTCCACACCCTCGGGCGGGCGAGGAGGCCTCGGTGCCGCTGGTCCCCACTTCCGGGTCCCTGCCGGCTCTGTCCTTCTCCAAGGTCAGCGCCCAAGCTCAGCGCCCACAGCCCCGCTCAGCATGGGGGCCCCTCCGTGTAGGCTTCTCTGACCACGAGGTCCCAGGGGCCCCGGCCAGGGGGCAGCCGCCTGCTGGGCCACAGTCAAAGTCAGTGTCCTTCGAGAGCCTGAGGCCAGGCCCGGCGAGGAGGCTATGACGCAGCCCGGGCGCCCGTGGGCTGGATCAGTATGGTGGTGGCCTGCAGCGGGTAGTAGCGTCCCCGCCAGGTCCTCCAGAAGATGCCCTTCTTGCGCCGCTGCCGCTGGCGGGGGACGGAGTGGAAGTACTGGCCGTTGAGGTTGGAGTGGCCGCACGTGCCGAACCACCAGCCACCTGCGGAGAGCACGGGGCGGGGCAGAGTCCCGGGGTCACGGGTGGGCCGGGCAGGCCAGGCTGGCGCTTAGCCTTAGGTGGGAAGACTGAGGCAGTGGTTGTCAAACTGCAGTCTGAGGGACCCCGGATTGTGACAAAGGCACCTCAGAGGCTCGGGGTCCCCCAAAGGATGCCAGCATGCTCAAGGAACCTCGGCAAGCTCCTTCTCGGGGCCTGGCACGTGGCAATGCTGGTTACTTCCTGCAACTGGCATCTATTGGTACCCATTTTTAGACGATGAAACCACAGGAAACTACCACGGGGCATCGACTTTGACCTGCCCACAGGCAGCGTCTGAGGTCCCCGTCACACGGCCGGTCTGCCTCCGGCCTCATCAGCACACGCGTGGCTGTGGGACGCTCCCGCAGGGGACATCGCCTCACTGGGCCTTCCCAGGGGCCCCGATTACACGCATCCCACAGCCGTGGGCCCGGAGGCCCCGCTGCCCACGGGCACACCCAAGGAGGGGCGGGCAGGGCTGGCTCACCGGAGAGGCTCCTGGCGCAGTTCTTGTCTCCCCGGAGGTCGTGGTCCTGGTCCCAGGTGGAGAAGGGCAGGGAGAGCCCACTGGGTGCCACAGCGGAGGCGCCCAGCTTGCTGGCCACCGGCGCGGTCAGCTGTAGGCTGTAGGCAGTGTCCTCGCCACCCAGGTGGACGGGGAACTGCAGGGACTCGGCGTGGCCCTCCCAGTCCTTCAGCTGCACAGCCAGGCGGCTGCCTCGGTCCCCCACGATGCTGTGCACCTTCTCCAGGCCCAGCCAGAACTCACCTGCGGAGGGGTGGCCTGGTGAGCGAGATGCGCCCTCCCCCCAGCTCCCATTCTGCCGCACCCCACCGATCCCCACAGGAAGCACCCACCTTGGGGGTCCCCGAAGCCAGCCTTGTAGGCCTTCCAGGGCTGGTTGAAGTCCACGGAGCCATCTTGGCGCCTCTGAATTATAGTCCAGCCTCCATCTGCCCAAAGAGATGCCAGGTCACCAGGAGCACCCATCTTAAAGGGAGCCGTGACTCCCCACCTGGCTCCCAAAGCCTCCCAATTGAGGGAGAACAATGTTCCCCTCGAAAATCCCAGGAGAGCCAGGGGAAGGTGGGCGGCCCAGACGCCAGGGGCTCCGTGCTCAACACGGGGAGGGGCATGATGCTGGCACCACCCTGCGCCGACTACCTGAGGTCATCTCGCAGTTCACCAGGAACGGCGGGGACCCCTGAGGCTGGATCTGGAACAGGCCGCTTTGCCGCTCACCAGCTTCAAAGAGCTCCTGGCAGTCGCTGGGCAGTCCTGAAAGAAAGAGGGGCAGGGCGACTGAAACGGGGGTGGTCCACTTCTGGGGGTGGTGGCAGGGATCTGCCCAGCGCCCCCCAGGGCTCACCATGGTCCCTCTAGCTCCATCTAGCAGCTCCTGAAGCAGCCCCTGCACCCACCCGGCTCCCTCCCTCTGCCTGCACACCCTCTGACCACAGGGTCCCCCCCAAACATGCCCACCTGCTTGCTAGCTTGGGGGGGCCCTCCCCTCATGCCTTTCTCTGCCTCCTCCTACGGTCCCACCTTCCGGAAGAAGACGCCCATCCCCGACTCCCAGACCAGCTAGACTCTGAAAGGTCATGCAGGTGCCCCAACAGCAGGGTCCCCCCACAGGCTAGGGAGAGGGTCAGTGCCCACCGCCTGGCACCAGGGCCCAGAGTGACCCACCACGGTAACTGTTCATGAAGACCTGAAATATAAATAAGGTGGCTGGGAGGAGGGCGCAAGGCCAGGCTTTGAGAGCGCCCTGGGCTCTGCCTGTGCTGCAGGGGACAGGGCCTGGGGGCAGCTTGTGGGGAGACAGGCCCTGTCTGGGGTCCCAGTATGGGGGGAGCTGAGGAGGGAAAGGGAGGTTGGACTGAACTGGTTAAGCCCAGCCCAGCCAGGAAAGTAAGGGAAAGGTCGTGGGGAGGCCGAGCAGGGGCTGAGCTGCTGTTCCCGCTGGGGGGGCCGGGAATGACTTGCAGACACTTTCCGGCAGGCCCAGGCAGCTCCCCTTTCCCCTACTTTCTTTCCTTCCAATCAGGACAGGCAGCCCGCCAAAACGCCAGTGCGGTTCCATTAACACCAGCTGTTTGTCTCTCCAGCGCTGAACTTTCCCCTACTTGGCAGCCTGGAGTCTGGGAGTCCCCACATCTCCCCAACACACGCTTGCAGCCCCATCCCCCCACCCCGCCCAGGCCAGCAGGCCTGACTCTGAAGCCCCTCATCTTCAGTGGAAGTTTGGGAGGAACCTTACTGGGGGGCAGAGGGTAGGAAAGTGCCTCAAGACCGGGGGTGCACGGGCAAGCAGCCTGAGGGTGTGAAGGGGGTAACCCAACTTTCACCCAGTTGGCTGACAACAGCCACACATCCAGGCAGGCCCGGAGGATGGGAGGAGGCGCCCCGGGGGCCTCTGAGTCTGGGGCCATGAACTTGAGGATGGGTCAGCGCCCAGAAGCAGGCGTCTGGGTCGGACACACAAGGACACACCATGGTTGGGGACCTACAGCTGTGCCAGTGGCGAAAGTCCACGCTCTTTGGGGGTGGGAGGGTGGTAAGGTGGTGTCAGCAACTTTGGGTCCAACTTTGGGTGGAGGACTGGGTGTGTGGTCAGGAACCCAGGGTTTACGAGGGGTGGGAGAGCAGTGCCACTGGCCAGCGAGGCGGGGGCCCCTGTCCTGGTCCCGCCCTATCCTGGACCGCACCCCTCGAGACCATGGGCTCCAAACCCCAGCACCCCTCCCAGGCAGCCATGCCCCTCACCAGGGGACGCCATGCTCCCTCTCACCTCTGTCCACCACTGTGACCTCTCAGAAGGTGCCCACCCTCAGGAAGGTGACCCAGACCTGTACCTCCCCTCTTCCCCACGCCCCTCAGCCCCAGTCCCTCTCAGGTCCTCTTTCGCAATCCCTGGCCTGGTGGGTGGCCATCAAGGGTTGGGGAAAGCCCACTGGCTTGCTGGGAAAAAGGGCGAGGTGGCCCAGAGGGCAGTCAGCACTGTGAGGGAGGGCCCATGAGCCCCCGGAGTCCCAGGGCTGGGAACGGGAGAGGAACGCCCTGTGGGGGCTGCCAGAGGGCAGCGGAGGGCTGGATGCTCACCGTGCAGGCTGCTGGCGTTGCGAGCGGGGCCAGCGAGCTGGGTCATCTTCGGGAGCCTCTTTCTCCTGGCGGTTTTGGCCAGCCTGTGGTCCAGGTGCAGGGGGACCAGCAGTCCCAGCTGGGACAGGGCAGGAGGAGGCTGTCAGGTGTGGCTGGCACACACATCTGGCCTCCCCGCGCAGCTCCGTGCCCCTGGGCCGGCGTCTGGTACCAGGCCCAGCGCCACCGCACCCCCAGGCTGGCGTCGGTACCTGGCTCTGCAGTTTCTGGATCCTCAGGTGCTGCTTCTCCAGGTGCCGCTGCTGCTGGGCCACCTTCTGGAAGAGCTGCTCGATCCTGCTGTTCTGAGCCTTGAGCTGCGTCTGGAGAGTGTGCGATGGCTGGTGAGGCCCAGCCTGGCCGCCAAGCCCCCATTCCTTCACCCATCCCACGTCCACCTCTTCTTCCCTTGGGGCCACGGCCAGAGGGCGTGGGGGGCCCTGGCTGGCCGCCTTCGCGCCCTAAGGTTTAAGAGAGCCGCCGCGGC